TAATATCTACAACAAGGAGGATTCTACCTGCTGCTTTCCGAAGGCGTATGTGGATTTACCACTCCCTGGAGAGCCTATGATAACCTCACCAAATGGCATTTTGGACGTTTATATCGGGGGATAATCTGAGCGATTATGATTATTGTGGCTAACAGAAAGGCACCTCGCGCTCCAAAGTCACACCCGTCTATTTGCACATATTTGAGTGTCACGCCACAACAAATCCCCACCCAACCGAACCGAAGATCCTGTAATCGTTTAACTCCTAGTAAGGACAAACGAAGAAGCGCAAAAATATGAGAAAAATAACCAGATGGAGGAGGATGGGGCTAGTGCTGAAATCGTGGCCTATAACTTAATCACAACGCATAAATGCATCCAAACGGGTAAAGCCTGGAGGCAATTTGTACTAAATATGCAGACGTACTGATAAACAAGCCACTATCAAACAAAAGAGAGAAAAGACGTACAGGAACTGAAATGGCAGGACTATGAGAAGAGGATCAAGCATATGTTTGAGGAACTCGACGGCACAATTCGTTGGCGACTGTAGTAATCCAAGACGCAGAGCGAAGAAGACCAGGGGTGATTATACTTACAGCGCAAAATAAAGCGGTGGAGCGCAAGGAAGTCGAGGTAGAAGACCAAGAGCATATATGCGAGGAATGGCAGTCAAGGAGAACCGGAGAGATCCACGGCGCACCACTGCGTAAGCAACAAAGTTAGTTACAGTACCGACTCTTGCACTCTACACAAGTAACTCATCGACGGGTCCCAACCATTCTCTCAATTGTTGGTACGTCTTCTGTTTAATGGGTTTGTTGGCGCCTTATTAGATGCCGAAATGTCGTGATTTCATTAAACATCAATGATGGATTACGTCCAACTGTATATACCCCGGCGAGCAAGGTGCTACCCACTGAAGTGGACACTTCTAAGTACAAACCAGTCAGTCAAAAGGGACAAAACCAGACCAGAAAATACATCTCAATACAGAACAACAATTGAAGTGCAAGCGAGTTACAGCAAGCTTCCTTGGCTCAGTTGGTAGAGCGTTGGTCTCATATCTAATGTGAGGAACGAGTTCGTTTCGCAATCCAAAGGTCGTGAGTTCGAGCCTCACAGGGAGCAATTCTTTTGCCTTCTGACATCCGTCAGTAATATTGTGCACGACATGCGCTTGCTCGTTGAAAACGGACGAAGCGCGTGACACATCCTGAGCTGCTTCGAATTTGGACGACAACCGATTGAGATTTAGACTTGAACAAATTACTGGAAAATATTTGTTGTAGTCTTGTCTACCTGTGTGTAAAAAATCGTGACGTGAGAGCGATATTTCACTGAGATATCGCAAAAATTATACCTCAGTGTACGGCATTTGTTTTGGAAATGTCGCTTATATGCGCGTTGTTTGCTTATATAAGTACTTTATACGTTGCCAGATGATGGTTTCAGCGAGTTAAAGTGCATTTGCATATTTTGTTTGACCGAAATTAACGGGAAACGCAGAACGCTGCCGGGGGTAGCTGTAATTTCCAGAATAGATGTTGTATATGAGGTATATTTTTTCCAGTAGCTCAACCAAACCTTGCTCTCATGCCATCATTTTCTGCAGACAGATATATAGTACTGCAACACACATATTTCAATAATGTATTCAAGTCTAAATCTCAAAGGACCACTGTCGTCTAAAGTCGAGGCAGCTATTCCAAGCTGACAAGGTGGCACTTGGGCCATCCGCTTTGTTTGATTTTCAAATTGGCCCATTCTTCCATCTGAGTGCTCTCATCAAACGCAAAACCACAGCCGCGTACACATCCAATCTCCCCCAGTTTAAAGCCATGGCGTCGGTAGCCAGAGGTCCGAAGGTTTTATCCCCCACCCGGATAGGCCAACAGCTCGACTCGTGATCAGCCATAATTTCAATCTCGGACTCACAACACAAACTCTGTCGATAAAAGGGCTTTGCTCTTCAAAAGCCTCAGGAGTTCTCTACAAATAGCAGACGAAGCCCTACCAGCTTGCACGTTTTCCTTCCTAGTACTCTTACACACTCTTTCAGCCAAAATAGCTGGTCCCGCCGATTGTTATCTTGAGCCGCGTACCGCAACCAGGATATTTTTTCTTCAAAGGAAGAAACATTTGTCCACAAAAGCTCTTACCCACTTATGGAGCCTAATAGGCAGGGCTGGCCATGGGCAAACTCGGCGAGGACGGCCAACCCTTCGTACGCCTACAATGTGCCTCGCCCTAATGTTGGACTCGTACACACTTCACAACCCAGCGCTAACTCAGGACATGTACTCAATTTTGAACGCTCACGCAACGTGCCCCAGCAAGCTCCGGTCAGCCTTCCTCAAAGTGTAGTGCCCTTTGCTACTAATGGGCCCATCTCTACACTGGATCCAAGGCGATTTGTTGATCCGGGCCACCTAGGAGAACCTAGACCTCCCAACCCCTCTGCTGGGGTGTTTGGTCCCAAGCCAGCTATTCCTATGGACCCCCATCGTCCTAAATATGCAGGATATCCACAACATGCGGCTTCCATAAGATCCCACAAAGCACCTGAAAATGCTACTCGGGTCAACACTAGGCCAACGATGCACGTACTTCATAGTTTTCCAACTAGTTCTATAGCCAGGGTACCGCAAATACCACGGCTTAATCTACTCCACGCTTGGCGTGCGCGAACAGGGCTTGTTTCACCTACCTCGTACGCTCCGCAGTTTTTGGCCGAGCAAGCTAGTAAGTTTCCCAGTTCTCGCAACGAAAATCGAGGGGGATTACTCCCACTATCAATTCTTGAACGCATTGCAAGGGATTTACTGAGTATGGCGCCTCTGCATACTCACCCGCGTCTTGCACTTGGATCATTGGCCATAGCCTCGAAGCGCTTTCGCTCCGTTGCAGCACCTTTCATTTACGAGCACGTAGCCTTGCGGAACAATGGAGATCTGGGAGTGTATGCGCGTGCGGGAAGCATGGAACACGTTCGGTATGTGCATGAACTACCGCGAGGGAGAGAGCATGACCGATAATCTAATGTGCCAATTCTCTCCATATAGGCGACTTACCATTTGTTTCGATCCGTATGCCCCAAGGAACCCGGATAGCGTTCTCATGG